TTGCAGAGGTGACACAAGGAGTTGTGTAAAATGCCCAGAATATGTCAGGCCCCGGGCGTGACTTAGCTGTTCCTGTCATCACGGTCACAAGCACCATGACAGAAAACTTTTCTAATGATGCTTTAATTTCCAAGAGTACCAGGTGCTCCCAGATGGAGACCCCCTTCCTCTGGAACAAGCCCCAGGACAAGAAAAGATGCAAGTTCCATCTTTAGGTCGACATTTCCGCTGACTTTAATCACTGATCATAATGCTGCACAGGGAACAGAGGGGGGGAATGCAAGTCCTTCTATTATTAAGAAAAACAATTATTAATGGGACCGAAGGTAAGAGGGAAATGTTAAGAGCCTAAACCAAAAATGTCTCAGGAAAGGGATGGGTGAGGAGCGGTTTTGTAGGCAGAGACCACAGGACAGGAGGCGAGTACAGTGAGTAGGAAAAACTGCTGTGTGGGGTCTTAAAACGCCGGGTCGAACATTGCAAGGGAAAGTCGAAGCAGGAAATGTTGTCTGTCGTCAGGCCCATGAGGCGGGGATCTGGGCCTGAGCTGCAGCAAGCAAGTCAGAGAGTGGAAAGTTCTCACAGAGTTTGGGGCCTACCTGTCCGAGTCAGGCCAGCCACAAGTTATTTTAAGAACCAGTTTCACATCAGCCTTGTCAAGAAACTGACTTCTATTCCTACTATGTGTAACAGGAGAATATAGCCCCAAAGACATGAGATAATTCCTGGAACCTACAACATATTCTGCACAGCAGAAAATTGTGCAAATGTGATTAAGGATCTTGAGATGGAGAGATAATAGAGAATTACCCGGAGGAGGAATGCAATCCCAAGTGTCCTTGGGATTTCAAGGGAGGTAAGGGAGACTGGACACAGACCAGAGAAGGCAATGCGATCGCAGAGATTAGAGAATGTGGCCCTAACTCAATCAAGGAGTGCAGGCAGCCACCAAAAGCAGAAAGAGGCAAGGAATCAATTCTCCCCGGGATTCCCAGAGCAAGGGAGCACAGCTCCACGAACTCATGGCTTTCAGCCCAGTGATGCAGATTTTGAACTTCTGCTCCCCATAACTGTGATAGAAGAAAATCCTGTCCCGTTAAGCTACCTAGTTTGTGGGAACTTGTTTCAGGAAACTAATCCACCTTGTGTCTTGAAAAGTCTATGTTTCAGATTTAAGGAAAAGATCCTCTGTCATCTTGTTGAGAGTTTGTGGATTATAGTTTTAGAGGAGGGGACAGATTCCACACGGTCAGCTTCCTTGTTATACTGCACCAAGATGCTTGACCATAATTTCACTTAAATACATTTGTCATGTTCTGGGATCCATTTGCTGTAAAATCAGAATTACTGCAGTTAATATCATTTTAACATGGAAAGGCTGAGCCTCAGGAAAGCTCTTAGGAAATGTACACGTGTAAGCAGATGTTCCAACGACACCAGGAGAGAACAATGAGCACAAAATAAAAGGTTTATTAATGCTTGTTGATTAACTTACATATTTGAGGAACTGGCTGACAGTCTAACCCTATAGGAAAAGCAAAGCATTGGAAATCAGAAAAGTAAATTATTTTCCAAGTGGTTTTACATGGATGTCAAGTCATAATCAGGCTGTTTTCCACATGATTGTCAACAGTAATAAAATATTTTGCCAATGGACAGTGTGCTAGAAAATTTGGGGGGCCGGGTACAGGAGGACGGGATACCAGGGATTGAACTCAGGGGCACTTGACCACTGAGCCACATCCCCGGCCCTATTTTGTATTTTATTTAGAGACAGGGTCTCACTGAGTTGCTTAGTGCCTCGCTTTTGCTGAAGCTGGCTTTGAATTGATGATCCCCCTGCCTCAGCCTCCTGAGCCACTGGGATTACAAACTTGGTACAGACATAGGCTACCGCGCCTGGCCTGAATAATGTTTTTTAAGAGTTACTCTTGGCTCAGCGAATTCAGACAAATTGAAAAGGGAGATGTGTTAAGGGACATCACTGTCTTGAATATCACCATACTAAACTTGCCGGTTCCCCAGAACTTGCCAGTTTCGTCCAGAAACTAGATACAAACTAGATACAGGCACAATGGCACATGCTTATAACCCCAGCAGCTCAGAAGGCTGAGCCAGCCTCAGCAACTTCCCAAGGTTGTAAACAACCTCATGAGACCCTGTCTCAAAAGGGCTGGGAATATGGCTCAGTGGTTAAGTGCCCCTGGATTCAATTCCCAGCACACATTAAAAAAAAAAAAAAAGTTCTGCTAACTACATTTTTATCAAAGGCAAAGCTAAGCCTTGGTCACTTGACTAAAATGTGACCATTTTCATAATTAGCACTTATCAAAACTATTTTTCAAGGCAGTGGGAATCAAAAAAATAGGAAAAGAATAAAATGGCTATAATATAACATTTCTGCAATATTACGGATTATATGTAAACATATATCAATAGATGTTATGAGCTACTCTCCTGCTTACTGGCCTCTTCCATTTTCTCCAAGCTTCAGATATTTCTTGGTTTAACTTTAGATCTGGGGGTACCTGAAAGGAGCCAGGTCCTCTCCAGTGCGCACCTATCACATTCCAAGAAACAAAAGGGATGCCATTCTTTGGAGCGGCTCCTGCCACGCTATTGCTCAAGGCAGTGATCTTAATGCAGTGGCAGGTTTTTCCACACTGTGCAATCCAGGGAGCTGTGGCCCAAGGGCAGCTGTAAAACCCACGTGTTAGAATAACTTAGATTGCTTGTGATAGATTAAATAAACAAACATACAATGAACCAACTATACAGCACAGAACTCTGACCCACAGAGAAACAGGTAACCTCCATCCTGTTCTGCTCACAACTGTCAGGACGAACTCAGAGGCTGATGACTTCCTCACTTCTGCCTCTACTTCCAAACCTGGACAAGCCGGAGAACCCCAAAGAAACTCCCCATTACTAGTTGACCCTCTTCCAACCAAATATACTCCCCAAGTCAATCACATAAGATGCTCCATTTCTAGTTATTCCTCCTGAAGCTTCCCCATGACAACCACCTCCAATCAGGGATACCCTAAAAAAACCCACCCACACCTTTTTTTTAATATTTATTTTTTAGTTGTAGTTGAATGCAATACCTTTATTTTATTTATTTATTGTTATGTGACGCTGAGGATCCAACCCAGGGCCTCCCACGTGCTAGGCAAGTGCTCTACCACTGAGCCACAACCCCAACTCACTTTTTTTTTTTTTAAAGCTTTTCCATCTTCTCTGTCTTCAAACTCTTATTATAGCAATTTCTTTCTTTCTTTTCTTTTCTTTTCTTTTTTTTTTTTTTTTGGTACCAGGGATTGAATCCAGGTGTGCTTAACCACTGAGCCACATCCCCAGCCCTTTATTTATGTATTTTATTTAGAGACAGGCTCCTTTCTTTCCTTAGGGTCTCGCTAAACTGTTGAGGCTGGCTTTGAACTCAAGATACTCCTGCCTCAGCCTGCCAAGCTGCTGAGATTATAGGTGTGCACCCAGTGCTGTGATAGTAATTTCTGAATATAGAGTTTGTTCTGAAGGGTGGTCTTCATTTATTCCCATGTATGAATGATGTTTGTGCAGAGTACCATGATTAATATACAAACAGAAAAAAGCCAGACCTTCAGCTATTCACAATGTGATGTACTTTTGTAACTACTTGAGAACTCCGGGCCCCTAGTTGTGTTGGAAGGGCTTTTAAGTCTTCGAAGGATGTACATAAAAATCTTAATATATTGATATTTTAAAAACATTAATTTGTGCTTACAGAAGATTACCAATTTAATTTTTTGTTTTTAAGTTGAGAAACTGTGTACATCTCAATTCCATTTAATTTTTCAGTGTTTATAAGTTAATATGCACTCTTAGTCCTTAGCCCCACCCCCTTCTTTTTTTCATACTTGGAGCCTTACCACTGAGCTACAACCCCAATCCTTTTCGTTTTTTATTTTGAGACAAGGCCTCGTAAATTCGTGAAGCTTTGCTAAATTCCTGAGGCTGGCCTGGAACTTGCCGTCCTCCTGCCTCAGCCTCAGAGTCATAAGATTATAAGCGTGGGCCACCGTGCCCCATATGACTCTGGTTTTTTAGAAAACAAACACACACCTAGGAAAAGGTTACGGGGGAGAACAAGGGATGTCTATTATCTAAAATATACTTCCTACAATGAATATGTCTTTTATATAATTTTAAAATCTGGAAACATTGCTGAGTTAATTTCCTTATGTTCTCTTCTATCTATAAATATGGATTTTCTCCATCTGCATCTTTTCCTCAAACTGTGCAACCTCAACCCTCATATTAAATATTTCTAAATGAATTTATTGAATTAAATTTCAAGTGGGAGGAAAACATAATCCAGGGAGCAGTTAATAAAAGTCGTTTTCATCCTTCCCAACCGCTGCTTCTCTCCTTATTAAAATTTATCTGCAAATAATTTCTAGTGGGCCTCAGAAAGGCTGGAGGGGAAAGAATCCCAGAACGAATGCCACTCCTTCGCAAGAGACCCCTTCCCTCCAATAGTCCCTTTTTGCTCCTAGGATTGGGACCTCGCCTGTTGAAAATTGCTCTCGCTACCAGATTCTTCTAAAATCCAGTCGCAGCCCCCCCAGAACCTGGGAAAGAACGCGTCTGCCCGGGGCTCCGCGATCCTCCACCGGCCGGGATTACACCGGCACCACCAGCGTAGACTGGCTCTGGACCCTGCAGGACTCTTTAACGCCCAAACTGCAGGTCCAAAGGAAAAGTGGGGTTAGGATGCAAATCCGCAGAGCCTGCTTTAGGTTTCTTTTCACGAGCCACCCGCCCAGAGCAACGAGGCGGGGAACTTGATTGATCTCAGCCGGTCCGGGGCGGCTCCTGCCCCTCCTCTGCCCCGGGTCGCCCACGTCCCCGGGGGTCAGCGAGGCGCGCCCCGCCCGGGCACTGATAGGAACCCGCCCGCGTCACGCGCAGGGAATCGGAGCGCCCGCAGGCCCCGCCCAGCGGCCGGCCCAGCCAATCGCAATGCGCGAAGGCGGCGTGGGCGGGGCCAGGCAGGCCGCCGACTTGGGGCTTTAAAGTCCGAGACAGGCCCGCTGGGCCAGATGCTCGGACCTCGGCGACCTCTGGGGAGCTGCGTGTGCGGAGTGCGCCTGCGCAGCTGCGGCCGCCCAGGTGAGCGCCCCCGGCCGGGCGCGGCGCCGTGCGTGGTGGGGCTGGAGGGGACCCCGCGGGCGCGGTCTAGAGGCGGGCGACCCCGGGAACTGGAGCGTCTGTCCAAAGCTCTGCCATCCTTGGGGCGGGGGAGCGGGGGAGGGCGGTTGGGGAACCGAGGAGGGGCCCGGAGCCA